GGGATTAGAGCTGCGGGCGACAGCAGAGGCGGCGTTGGCTGCTGCGGCGGCGGCGGCGTCGGGATCAGCAGTCGGGATTACTGTCGACGCTTCTGTCAGGTGAGGCGCCCGTCGGCCGTCTGGACTTGTCACCCGGGTCCTGGGCCTCTCTGCGTCTCCTGGCCTTCTAGTCCACGAATCAGAGCTGTGTCCGATGCTGGCCCCTGCAGCCCAACGAGGAGGATGAGGGTGAAGCTTCCCCCTCCACCTATCCGGCTTGGAGTGGGGGGCAGGGAGCAGGACGAAGGTGATCCGCTGGCTTAGGGTTGTTGAGAAAGTGAGAGTTTGTCGGGGCTGGAAGGGCTGGAGAGAAGGAGGGTCAGCTGGACTGAACGCTGTGTCCTGACATTCCTTCCCTGCCCCCAAAAGACCCCTTCCTGCCCGAGGGTCCCGCCTTTCTTGTTTGCTACCCTGTTTCTTCCCACCTCATTTGGAAGCTCTGGTAACATTTTCTGACTTCCCTTCTCCGCCCCTTGCCCCCCGTATTCTGCCCTTTTTCGGGGATAGGACGCATGCCATTTCTTTACCTCCTCCTCTCCTGTCATCGCCACCCCTCCCCCTCTGCTAGGGTCTTCTGTCATCCCCTTATGCGATCCCGCAGGGCCAGTCCTCCAGTTGGCTTAGGCGTTGACCCAGGGTGATTTACTTTATTTTTTCGGTGGGGGCGGGGGGGGGCGTTAAAGCAGTGTGATTGTCATCTTTCCTTTTCTTACTCCTTCCCTTGACACATGCACTCTTTTCTAATTAACTGCTAATAGAAAAAGTCGTTCTCGTTGAAAATACTGCTCTGTTTGCATCACCAACTCCCCTCAACCTTTAAATTACAATGTATGTTTTTTAGCCTGTAAAATACAGTGTCGGAAGAGTGACAGTAAATTATTTCATTTACTCAGTCGACTGCCACTAGGATTTGAGGTAGTTTAACGTGTTTGACTGTAATTAAATATAGCACCAAAGTACTTCTCTAGGGGTAAAGTTGTGCAGTCTGCATCCTTATCTACATACATTTATAATTTAAGTGTTTTGTTCTCATTGTCAGCAATCTTGTTTTACAAACTTTTTGGGGGGAGGGGGAAAACTACTACTTTTCCATCCTACCTATTTTAAAATTTATTATCTTGGATGTGTAGGATTCAAATCCTGGTTCCATCCACCACTTCCTAGCTGTGTTACCTTGGACAAGTTACTTAACCCTGTGCCTTAGTTTCCTCTTCTGTCAAATATAGTAGTTAAATAAGTAAATATGCAAAGGGTCTGGATCAGTTAGCTATTAATTTCATTCTGTTGACAAGTGGGAAATAAAGTTAACAAGAAGTGGGCATGATGTTTGCTGACATTTGATTTTATGCCCTTACAAGCGTTGAAAGAAAAAGGATGGAGTTGGCATTATCAGGTAAGTTTTTTTAATGCTTTAGTTTAAATTGTCTTTTGAATTTATTTTTTCCCTCAAAATCATAAATAAGGTGGTTTGAAAGTTGAAATTGTCTTGATATAATGGGTGTGTCAGTTTCTTTGGCATTGCCATTTAGTGACTTTCTTGAGAGTGTATTTTTATTTTGATAATTGACATTCTCTAGATTTAGAGGTTCTGTCTTGTTTTCAGAGTACTTATTTTTTAACTACTGTATACATTTTACATGTAGAAACCATGCTATTGGTAGACTTTATAGCTGCAGTAATTTTAAGCCTCTGAAAATTAGGGTATAGTTGATACTTTTAATATATTCTGGGGCAGAAGTTTTGCTTTTTATATCATTACCAAGCAACTTGGTATTGGTCACATTTAGCTTTGTTAATTAACTTGATCAAGTAATCCTTAATTGTTATAGAATTTGAAAGTTTACTTGAAGGCCAGAACATGTTTGGAGAGCTTTTAACTACTCTTATTGTTTCTCAAAATCAATTTTAAAAACAAATGAACAAATTTAGCCTATGAAACAGTGTGTCTGAACAGAGACAGTATAATATTTTAAGAACAAATGAAGTTGATTATTTTATAAAATTCCACTACCTCCTGAATATCCAAGGAAATTAAACAGGAAGAACTTAATGAATTTTTATTTTTCATTGCTAAATTATGAGTGTTATACTAATATACTTTTATATCATTGCATGTTTTATAATACTCTAGATTACCAATAGGTAATAGGTCTTAGGGTTCTTGTCTTTCTTCCACCTTGCAGATGACATTTGAGAAATCCTTTTTGTATTTTTTATATCATTGCATGTTTTATAATACTCTAGATTACCAATAGACCTGGTCTTAGGGTTCTTGTCTTTCTTCCACCTTGCAGATGACATTTGAGAAATCCTTTTTGTATTAAAACTTTTACATGGAATGAAAGATTCCCTGAATTAAGTTAGATTTTATCTACTGATTAATAAAATCCTACTATACTAATTGTTTTATTTGCCCATAAGGGAAGCAGTGGATTATATAATCTAATTCCCAGTCAAAAATTGTTTCTTTTTAAGATTTGGTTTTCTAATATTTACTAAGTGTAATATTAAGTAACTTACACATTTATTAGTAAATGACTTAATTGTGAATAATTTATTAAATAGATAATATGCACTTCGGTAGGTGAGAGTTAACTAAATATATGAATAAAAACACAGCTTAGTGGTGTTGAGAAGAAAGGCTCCAATTTATCTTCCTCCTTTTAGAGGGAAATATGAATCAAAATTTCTTGGCAGTTAGTTGTGTGGGTGAAGGGAGAAAGGAAGGAACACTTCTTTTCAAGAGAGGTTCTTGTGTCTCTTACCACAAGGAAAACTAAAACAGAAGGCATGGTGTAATGTTGAACTAACCACCCCTATCACATCCTCCCTTGGCTTTTGCTAGTAGACTCTCAATAAATGCTTAAATAAAATTAGCCCTTAACTGATAATTTGTTTGCTTTGAGAATGAAAGGTAGGGGAAAGTAACTTTTATTAAGGGCCTACTAACTCTTAGCCTTCAGACAGCATATTGTATAGTTGAAATTGAGGCCTAAATAAGTTAATTTGTTTTAGGTTCTAGTAGGATCCTAAAGCTGGGATTGGCACCCAGCCATCAATGTCAATTTCTACTGAGAGGCAAGTTGACATTTCAAATAAACTCTCAAATAATTATAAAGTGATTTTTTTAAAAAATTTTTTGGCAAGTGGTGCAAAGGGAAAAAAAAGTTACTGGAAATACTCAGGGAATCATGGCTGAAAAGTTTTAAAAGTACTCTTTCATTATGCCACAGAAGTAAAAAATATTTAAAGAAACAGTCAAATCATTATCATATCTTATTTGTTAGGTGCTATGAACATTTCCCCAATTCCTGAGGGTTTTAGTAATTCAATTTATTTTGTCACCGGATGCACTGATTTTTTTTTTGTCATAAATTGTTAACTAATCAAATTGAGGTACTCTTCTCTTAGTTCAGTGCGTGAAAGAATCTAATGGGTAATAAATAAACATTTCTGGAAACACTTTGATATGTTGATGAAAATAGACTTTAAAAATTATTTCTTACCACAGTGTTGTTAATAGCCATTCCATAAGAATGTCATGAGTATAAAGTCAGAGAATTAACATAAAATGCTTAGTAGTGTACCTTGCACATAGACAGGCTTAAATAGATGGAAGCTATTAATATTTCTGTCATGTGAAATCCTCTGAGGATTTAAGAGGGACATTAGAGATAATCTAATCTGTAGGTAGTTTATAGTTTGTATTCTACAACAGCGAAAATTTAGAAATCTTACAATTCTTAAATTATGTTATTTAGCTAGAAAAGCTAAATGCTCCTTGTAAAGCACAGTGATTTGCAAACCAACTTTTTTCCCTCTATGGTACGGTTTCTCAGAGATTTTGTTTCCTGCAGGGACATTTGGCAATGTCTGGAGATATTTTTGATTGTAGAATATTTTTACTATTATTTCAGTGGAGTTTTCAAATGGAAAGAGTAGTAAATGTGTGTCCAATCTGCTACATTTAACTAGAAGTCTCAAATTAGTTTTCTAGCTCAGTAAAGAATAATAGATATGGACGATGATGAAAAGGAAAGTATTAAAAATAATTTGCAGTGATTTATTTACTTTTGAAAAAGAGCTTCCTACTTTCTGATCTATTCTGTAGTGAATATTCAGAGGTAGAAATAATTTCATTGCATTGAAATACTTTATGTGTTCCTTTTGGCAAAATTATTTCTAAATTGCAAATTAAATTTTTTATCTTTTTTTCTTGATGGTTTTTAAAATTTGCCACATTTGGGACATAGCCAGTGTTCATAAAAGGTGAATTCCATGGAAAGACATTAACTTATTTATTATAAAGAAAAACAAAATGAACCTTAGATCTTGGTGGCAGTATTTGGGGATCTAAATGCTTTTTGTTGTTATTTAATGTTTATTTTAGGTTGACATGCAGAGTTAAATTACACTAACTGTTCGTAATGACATTATTTGTAATAGCAAATCATTGAAAACCTCAGTGACCAGTGTTAGGGGAGTCATTACATATAATGGAAGCCTATGTCCCCTCCCCCCAGACAATCACGTTTTAAAAAATATTTATTCACAAGGGAAACTTGTGTTTATAGTATAATAACTATGGAAAAGACACAGGCGACAGGTGGTTTCACTTTTGTAAATAAAAAATAACTAAAAAGACAAATACCAAATTGTTAGCAGTGGATGACTTCTTAATGGTATGTTTATGGATCAATTTTATTTTTTTCTTTATACTTGTTAATTTTTTAGATTTTCTTTATTAAACCTAGTACTTTATAATCAAAGAAAAAATAAAGTATAAAAAATAAATTTTATTTTGTTTGTTAACTACCTCATAGATTATTTTTTACAAATAAATGCAAGTTTGTTTTGAGTATGATGAGATTTTAATTCCTTGTTTTCCAAAAATATATGGAATGCTTTTTGTCAAAAATGAGTTGGTTAAGTGAATATATGCAGTCTTTGATTAGATGCATGTTTATTATTGCTTTCTAAATAACCACTCATTACACTGCTTAAAAAAAAAAAAAAAACTATCTCAATTTTAATTTTGTAGATACAGTGGTAGGAGAAAA